AATGTCGTCCTTACTCTGTTCATTCGGTAGCAGCCTCGCCCGAGGTATTTAACGTTGTATACTTCTCCAAGTTGACGGTCATTAATCCCCAGAGGGGCCTTCTCCTGTTAAAAGAATCCGGCTCGAGAATTATTTTGTCTTTAAGTATTTATGGACAAGCCAACCGACACAGCCATCTCATTCACTCGTGACACTACAGACTGTATATCGCCAAAGGTTGAAGCTAGTAAAGCGATATCATCGGCGTAGTCGAGATCAGTCAGCCGACGTCCGGGTACCAAATACAATTACACCAAAACTTCGAGGTCTTGTATTTTAAAATTTCTGCAAAGATTTATGGGGGAACTAGGTTTGCCTATTGACCAATAATTACAGCCCTCGTAGAATTCGCTGCACTAAAATTTATAAACAGTTATTTACATGTCTGACCTACAACCGCAGTTAATACTGCAGAACGGGTATGAAATAGCCTGACTAGTACTGTCTACACGCAATCAACAGACAGCTTTATACGCGTTTGTTTATGCCCCAGAGACATACTCAACAGTGAAGCCGGATGTGACTGACACAAAACAGAAGGATCAGACAACAACACAGTACAGACACATGGATAGTCTAACCGAACCAAAGGATAGAGTTGTAAAAATCGCTTACGCTGTTGAGAACATGAAACCTGTCTCTAAAACGGTTGGACTTATTGACGGATATTGGTTTCAAGAAGTTTTAATATTGTTTTTACCGCGGAAAATTTTCAATTCTATAAATGTAGGTCAATCAGCCGTGGCAAGTTGTTTACGGGCAGCAGGGCGTGCTGTTCTGGTGAAATTGTCATTGAAGGATTGCCTTAAACGCAAATGAAACGACAGCGTTTTTCCATGCTGGAAAACAATATCCGTCACCACAAATTCCCGTGTGGCTTCACTCTAATTGTGTGCCTTAGATGAAGACACAGGGGTATCTCTTCAAAGTAAAACAGTTAGTAATGTTCTCCAGCTTGTGCAGGAAAGCAGGCCGACCATCCTCTGAGGGGCCTTTTACTACAATAGTAGAGTTTGGCTACTGTGTTGACACAGTGGATTCGTAATTACTTTCCGCTTTTCATTTTTTACGAATGCTCAACATTTTGCTCACCTACTCTCCCTAAGAAAGAC